AGGATCTAATTTTGTTGGAGCAAAGAATGAATTGAACAAGGCTCTAAAAGAGATTGATAAAGAAAAAGTAACTGAGTACTTGTTAGAGAAACAGTGTGATTTTCACATGAATGCTCCACATGCAAGCCATACAGGCGGAGTCTGGGAGAGGCAAATCAGAACTGTAAGAAACGTACTAAGTTCAGTGTTGAAAAAGAACGCCGGAAGATTAGATGATGCTTCACTTAGGACACTATTCTATGAAGTAATGTCTATTGTTAACAGTCGTCCACTTACAGTCAACAACATCAACGACCCAACAAGTTTGGAACCTCTAACTCCCAACCATCTACTTCACCTTAAGACTGATTACATACAGCCACCACCTGGCAACTTCACCAAAGAGGATTTATACGCAAGGAAAAGATGGCGAAGAGTTCAATATCTATCAGAGCAGTTTTGGAATAGATGGAGCAAGGAGTACTTAGCTCATCTCATACTAAGAAGTAAATGGCAAACGCCTAGAAGAAATGTTCATGTTGATGACATAGTGTTAGTAAAGGAAGACGACTTACCTAGAAGTCAATGGAAATTGGCCAAAGTCCTAGAAGCTCGAAAGGATGAAGAAGGACTAGTAAGAAGAGTTTTGTTACAAATGGGAGACTCAAAACTGGACAAAAAGGGAAAACGTCTCACAACTCCACTCAAGTTGGAACGTCCAATACAAAAGTTAGTTGTTCTGCTTGAGAGTAACAAAGACACTGGAGAGTTAAGAAACTGATGGAAAATTCCTCAAATTCATGTTCGAATCCTATTGCTGAGAACATAGAATTATAGGTAATTTTTGGTGGGAGTGTAGCTGGCCAGCTAAGACCAGTCCTAGGTTGTTAATGTGGTTCACATATACTGATGTGTATACCAAACCTGCCAATAACCTCAGTACAGTATATATGTGCATATGTTAAAGCCAAAAGCAAAATCATTGCTGTAATTTATGTCTTTGATTGTTATATGACATTTATATATTCATTGTGTTAGCAGAAGCAGAAAAGGAAAATATGCCTTTAAGAGTTAGTATAAGGTGAGCCAATCACAGACAGCCTCACACTGTACAGAGCCTTTAACCAATCCCAGCCAGTTTCACATCTATGCCTGTGTAAAACTCCCTGCTAGGATTTCTAGAGACACATGCTCACCAGACAGAGGAGGAAACAGACAGTTCCAATCAGAGAAGCTTTATGGAGACAGAGAAGGCCAAATAGGTATTTAATGCACTTGTGTGTTCCTCTTTTGTTTAGTAATGCAGGCAGATCTGTATGTAAAAACTGTTGTGTGTGTGTTTACTTGTAGTTTCCACCGAACTTACGAACCTATCGAATTTACGAACTTACGAACAAACTTATCGAATATATCGAATTTATAAATCCAAGTGAATTTATCAATCTATCGAATCAACCCAATGTAATACGAATTAAACCATTGTAATATGAAAGAAATAAGCCATTGTAAGCAGTTATATGAAGAAGATTGAAGTTATAAAAGAAGTTAACTAAAGTATTCGGTGTGCTCTTTAAACCTACTGCATCCATAGAGCGGCATTGGAGGAATTACAGAGTAAAGTCAGTCTAATCAAACAAAGAATCAGCAATTGCATAATTTTTCTAATGCCACAGCGCACTAGGCACCAAAGGGTGCTGCGCCTGCCACATGCTGTGCACACGTTTCATGCAAGATGAGATGTGTGGGGGTGCCATTCAGAATGAAAAGCACTCCAGTGGCTCTCGCAAAAGAAATGCAATGTGGCTGCGGGAATCGCATCAATTCTTGTACTCATACCCAGCCCGCAGCATGCAGCATGTTGGCTAGTGTGAACGTAGTCTGAGTTTGCCAGAGAAAGGCATTTCAGTTACATCATAAATATAAGCAGTTGCATGCTGTTGCACAGCTAAGAAAACACCAACAAACAACATTATACTGGAATAATACATTTTAATTCTAAGATGTTACCTCAATAGTCTGAAATAATATCAAAGCAATAGTGTTCTTATATGTTTGAATATTGATCATAGATTTCTTTTTTTGTTGTTGTTTTTATTTAGGTTGTATTAGAAAAGATGATTATATTGTCCCCAGGGCACTGCTGTACTTTTTATGAAATCCAACGTCAATCTTGTTCAGGACTGAAAATATATTTGGGGGTAACTTCTCAAATATCAGAGTATAGACAGCACTCTACAGTGAGATATTAGTATGCGAAAGCATTAAATCTGCCATACAATGTTGGCATGGGTTAATAAATAGCATCTTTGATAAACTAGGAACATTCACGTTTCAGTGCTACTGTGGTGATCAGTAAGGAAAAAGAGCTGTTTTTTCTCTTGGGCAATTGATAGTAAAAAAAAATGGCATCATTGATAGAAACAGAGAAGTGGCTTTGCAAGTGTCTACATACCCCAGTTGGCTGTTGCCCTGGATCTCAAACCTACAAACCCACTCTATGGTGATACAGTGCTTACAGTATTGCCATGCCTGGCCACTTGAAAGCCACAGGTGACATATATGACCATTTATGACAGTAATGTCTTAACAATATCTGCTCCCCAATTAGATATATCCACTAATATGGTGACAACATACACTGAAGAGAAGCCAGTTCACCAATTACCCTTGGGGGTTCAGTGTCATGTGTTATAACTCAACATCATACTACTTCAGCCCTGTCAGTACACAGTAAACACAAGCATGCGTCACTATACTGACAATGAAAATTTAAACCAAGATTGTATTTTGGTTTTAGTTAGAGCAGGGAGGAATCCGATGAGAAAATTGCAGCAATATGGCTAAAATAAAAATCGTTATTCTTGTGTTGAAACTTTGTCTGGATGTGTGCCATTTGTTTTTATTTCAGTTTTTCCCAAAACCTCTTTGTGTATTGTAAGTACACATTATTCTTTTTGTTAAGCTGAATATACATATACCCTGTTAGTGGATCCTGCCTTACAGAATATGATAAATTTTTTTATGTGGATTCCAATAAGATGTTAAAATGTCGTCTCCTTCTTTTAATTTACAGCTGGACTGTCGGTACATCAGATTTTTGGATGGACCATGGGGGTGGTGGGTTTCCAGAGATGGGGAAGCCATCACATCTTGGGGGGGAGCCCCAACAAATAGTGGAAGATGTGCATGTGGAGAAAATGGTAATACACCTCTTGTTAGAAATGTTGATCAATAATTAAATATTATTACAGCAGATATTGTAGTTTTGATAGATGATAGGGAGTTAATCACAGTCTGGTTTCTCCCTTTTTTGGGGACCGCTTTGGCAGATTCTGTACTTGTTTCCTACAAGTCAAGCTTTCTAAGTACTACTGAATAAAAAAAAAAGCAAATTAAAACTTATTTCTAACATTTTAATGAAAATAGATGACACGGTTGAACAAATTTACAAATATATATGGAAGCCACCATGCATGTCAAAGTGATTTGCACAATGTGATGTCTACTTTAATCTTCAAAAGTACCAACAATGAGGGATATAGAGCAAAGAGCCTGATGATTTTTAAATATTTCCTTAAAGATATGACAGACCCAAATTTCCTGAGCTGAGGTCCTCTTTGTGTATAAAAAAGAAATGAGTAAAGCGCTCAGTCACAATCATAGAAGGTGTATGGGGTAGGGGCAATATACTGCAAGTGTATACAATAACATTTCAAGAAAATTTGAATGCAGCTTCTTTAACATAATTTTTATCATTGTGTATGTATTCTAGGTGAGTGTGCCTTTGAAATGACATCTTGCAACTGTGATACAAATGATGATGTGTGGAGGACAGATGAAGGAGTCATAACGGATAAGTCAGCATTGCCAATCAAGGCGATCAGATTTGGAGTGACGGATATAACAAGATCAATGGCATTCTACCGTATAGGCAAGCTTCGCTGCTGGGGAACAAGTAAGGTTGTCTCATTGTTTCATATATACATATAGTAAGCAGTGGCATATATTTGTTAAGGCAAAGGGCATCTAACACAATTGGGGCTATGTGTTTCACCTTTTTTATAAGTTTCAGAACCTCCAATCTTAGAATCGTGCACTGCTCTCAAAGAAGCTGGTATCAGTGAATCGGGGAAATATTTAATTGACCCAGATGGTGTGGACAAAGGATTTCCTGAATTTGAGGTCTTCTGTGACATGTCATCTCAATCTGGTAACCACACCATTAAAATCTTCTTAACATGATTCACATTGGCTGAATTTCTAAGCATTCATGTTTTGAGTATCAGTTCTGAGTATGGGAGAACTAGGCTGGGGACAAAGAGGCATGTACTAGGCAAGTGCTAATAAGATATGTTGGACCCAGAATACTCCTCCATATAGACATTGATCAGAATGGGACAAACATTCTGCCCATTATATAGCAGGCCACATACTGGACATTATATAGCTACTTGCACCCCATTCAGACCTGCAATCACAGTAGCAAAGAGATATTTTCCCTTATGGCTTTGAAATTTCATGCCAAATGCTAAGGGCTTTGAAGGAAGTCAATGCTGAAAGATTTGAAAATGTGTATCATGGTAAACACCCATGTTTTACAATGGCTACCAATCTCTGCAGCATTATGGCACATTTTCCATGTGTTTTCCTCCCAGGCAAAAAAATCACCAGTCCTCCCCTGGTGCTGAATAATCCACATCCATGTGGTAATAAGTGATCCTTCAATTGATTTAGAAATTACTATTATATTATGAGTAGTAGCTTTTTGATTTATTTCTAAAGCCTTTTCTAAATATCTAAAGAAATAAATACCTAAGATGCTAACATCTGCAAACATCTTTATATACCTGTATATGGAAAACTAAGGATAAAGTATACCTAAAGCCAAAATGTCTGTTTTTGTTTTTTTAGCTTTTGGTAGTGTCTATGAAACGGTTAGAAACTTTCACTTCCTATTCCAGAGACACAACAGGAGATGAGTGGAAATCTCTCCAAAGTGTAGAGGGTCATATATCAGTTGTCATCAGAACATGGGTCCCCACTGGAAGACTCTTCACCTCCTATTCCAGTGACAACTGAAGAATTCTGGATTATCCATAACTTTCTGCCCCAGTGACAAAAATGATCAAAGTAAATAAGGAAGGTGAATCTCCCTAGCATAGATACGGATAACAATAAATGCATGATAGGATTTTAACTTTTTTTTATACTCCATCCAAAACGAAAAAAAAAAATGTTTTAGTTGGGTTGCATATGCAAAAATAAATATGGGACTTTTCTAATTTTTTACACCACTAACTGCTGTATCAGGGTTGAAATACCCATTGCTGATAGCACATAGTAGACTTGGACTACAGCTCTTTTACACAAAGCAGCGGCTCTGCTTCCATATATTCCAACATGTCCTCTCAAACACTGCTTCAGTTAACAGAATCGCTCTGTTCATCAATCCAGTGGTTAAAGGGTTACCTTCGCATACCTCTGTCATTTAACTCCTTTGACACTAGCTCTGTCATAAAGTCACATTACAATTCATACTTTTCTGTTACAGGTATAACAGTTATAGGCCACAACAGTGAAAGGCGTATACCAGTGAGTCCATGTGAGGATCCCGGATGCTACAAGAGAGAACTGACATACTCAGCAGACCTCTCTCAGCTAAATGCTCTTACCAAAGTGTCACAAAGCTGTGAACAATTTGTTAGGGTAAGCAGTTTGCTTTTCACCCAGGAATTACAAAAATGATGCAAATACATTTTAAATAAAAAATAAATTAAAATAGTAACTTCTTCTCCTAAGCACTGTATATTTCCCTATGATGCTTCAGTGGCATTGTGGAGCAAAGTACTGCAATGGCTTAGCATTTCCCCACAGAAGTGGTTATCATTTAGCCATTGAAAAGAGGTAAGAGCATAGATCCACAGTAATGATCACAGTTCAACAGAAAAAGGGAAAACAAACGTAAGCTCTGCAACACTGAATATGTATTTAGACATGCCTGCATCTGAAGCTTATTGGCAAATTTAACAATATCCTTGCTTCATTGACACATTTCTCAAAGTGCATGAAAAACCAAAATGTGGGAGAGATAAACCCCCTGTCAGTTTTTTTGCTGTTTGTGTCCCCCAGGGGAGATCTCCCTTTAATTTTTGCCCTGAAGGTGCAACCAGAAGTAGGGGTAAATATCTCACAATTCAGTGGAATTCCTATCTGGGCACAGGAATGTACCTATTGGATGATTTACCTCACCTCTCCCTCTGATGACAATTCTTTGTATTTTCCCTAATTTTTCTCTCCTGGACAGTGGTCACTAGGACAAAAAAATGTCTATACATACACTTTACAGATAAAATGTAGGTGCATGGTCAGATCTGTCTGCAGAAATATCTGGTCTCAGTAGCAGTATATGGCTGTGGCCTAGTCTATCCTAATTGCAAGTCTACTACAATTTATTGTCACACTAACATTCATCGTAGACATGTGCAATTCATTTAGTTATGAATCAGACAAAATTTTCAATATTTGGAGATTTGGATGTATCCAAATTTCCAAATCACTATAGTAACGAATTTCAATGAATCCAAAATAATTTATAATGAAATGAAGTAACCAAATTTGCAAATGAATTTGAATTTGAAAATGAATTTGAAAATGAACTTGAAATCGAAAAAAATGAATTAAAATTCAAAATGCAAACACTGCAATAAATACAGTAAGGTATAAAAGTGAAATAAGATGATGACTCCTACTTAGGCTGCTTTTTAGAATAGAATGGAATAGAATATTACAAGATAGAATAGACTAAAACAGAATAGAAAATAAAAGAATAGAATAAAAAAATATAAAATAGATTAGACTAGAATAGAATAAAATAGAACAAATACAGCCATCTTCCAAAATTAAAATTTTGAATCGATTTGAAAATAATAAATGTAAGAAACAAATTCCAAAAATGAATCATTCTAACCTAACAAATATGACAAAACAAAAATATTACCTTAATGAACGAATCCAACTACGGTAATTTTTCCATTGTGCACATCCCCCCTTCTCCCATGTACTTTGCACATAATAAAGTCAGGTTTTCCATTTCTTTTTTTTCTAGTTGCTGCTGGAATTTAGTGTAAATAATGGTGAGAAGTAAACATATGTACAGAAAACAATAACAAAAAAGTGAAATTTTTTAGAAACATTTGTATTTATGTCCATTTAAAATAATAGATTGTGCCAGATTGTTTATGCTGTAAACATTTGGTGCCAAATTTTGTGGAAAATGGTAGTCTGTATTATCTGGAAACATTTAGTCACAAAACAGATTATTGGATTGTATTCTTTATCTCTGTTAAACAATGCTGAAATATTTTTTTGCTTTTGTAACTAGGTGAGACTGTTTCTTTGTAAAAATGAGAAATATTAATTTCAGCCATTTATACATACTAGGCTTCTGTATATTTTTCTGGTTTAGTTGATGTTGGAAATACATTTAGATGACAGTCTTATAGGCAGGTGGGGCAGGTTGTCAGTGGCGCCTGCTGCTGACCATAGAACGTTACTGCCACTTCATCGGCTTAGCAGTGTTAGGAAGTGATACAGCGATCTTCCAATCTCTAAATAACTTTTTTTTATTAGTAAACACTGCTGTCACATGACTGCCATTTACTACTACTACTATTAAGGCATTAAGTAAGCCCAGCATAAGACCAATGTGTCCTCTGTCATAGGCCCAGGCACCATCTTGGGACGGCCTGTGTCTAGTTTAAAATCGAGATCTTCTGAACTTCAGCAACCATTTTGTATACAAATGCTATATATATATATATATATATATATATATATATATATATATATCACAATCAGCATCACAAAGGGCAGGCACAAGTTTGTTAGGAACATAACAGGGTTGTATTCTGCTTTACCTTACCAGTGAAAAGCATGAAGGAATGTAGAATCTGGTCTGCAGGAGAGAATGACCCCTTCTGCCTTGGGAAGCCCCTGTAATGGAATAGATAGTTGTGGAGAACTAAGGTAGCCGCAAGGAAGCTCAGTATTTGAGAGAAAGTGGAACTTAAAGCGATTGTAGACCCTTACATATACCCAGTGAAGTGACTGTTCTCAGGTGATACACAGAGATGAAACAACTCTTTCTACATACGTTTTACCTGCTTATCTGTGGTATTCTCTTATCTACATCCATTCAAAGTACTGACTTTATACAGCTTGTGTGAAAGCTCAGAAAAAAAGGGGCTGAGAGCTGAAATTAGACACTGCAAAGCTCAGTTAGGAGGATCTGAGAGCTGATTGGAATAAGAGACACACGCCCTTCACACAGCTCACAGGAACAGAGATGAGGCTGTCAATCTGCTGGAGGTTCCTCTCCTGTCACCATTTTTCTCTTGGTGTCAGGAAAACTTGTCAGAAGTGATTCATGCTGATAGCAGAGGAACAAGGCAGAAGACAGAAATGACACTTAACTGTTAGTGCTCTTAATTGATAATTAAGTACACTTTATAAAGGGATGTGCTTTGTTCATTATTCATGTCTGAGGTTTACAACCACTTTAAGGAATGCAAACTTCTTTTGGTTCCCTTTGTGTAAGAATTGAATACTCATAAACTGAACTGTTAAATTTATCCTACTGATTTGTAGGAGTAATTGAAGATTCCCAGAATGTTACTGTACTTTACAGTTTCTGAGATAAAAACCTAAAGCAACAGTAGTGTTGTATTGTTCTCATAAAAATTCTGCAACAAAGGGAGCACTCTCTAATCCCTGTGTATCCATACCTAGCTTCTTTGAGAAGGATGTATAAAAAGCATGTTTTTCACAGGGGCTTCTGCTCCCTAAGAAAATGTCCATTTACTTAACCACTTGCCACCCACGCCAATTCTGACATTTCTCTCACAAAAGTTACTGCTGGACTGTCTTTTGTGAAAACTCAGAATTCTCTGCAAACACAGTGCTATGGAAGTCCCCTGTATTAAATGTGTATTTCTGAAATGAAGATTTTATTTCAGGTATAACAAATAAGACATAAAAGATTAGTTTATAGAACTGCAAACATTAAAAATATTAAAAAATATTAGACAACAAAAAAATGTAAGTTTATTTTTAAACAATGATTGCACATTTGCAGTATTTGTCTTGTGTGCCTGTCATTTTTCAATGGCTGTTAATGTATATTTTTTTCTATTCCAGCTTGACTGTCGCCATGTGCGCTTCATTCAGTCTGGATGGGGCTGGTGGGATTCCTGGGATGGAAAGAAGATGGATTACTGGGGTGGTGCTGATTCTTCAATCGGGGGTTGTTCATGTGGAAAAACTGGTACAATACGAAGTAACTGATATGTGATAAGAATGCATTTACATAGGATTCAAGCAAATTTGATTAGTTAGTAGATACGGAAACAAAAAACTGCACTAAAAAATACGTGCCAAACAAAATAAGTGAATAGTAATCAGATAATTGCTGCCACTTCTAATAAATCGATATAACCAAAAACTTCAAAGTGATTTAGTAGCGCTAAATAACACATACATAAATATCAAAGTGAAACTCTTAATGTGAAAAAGACCAAAAAAAAGTCCTTAACCACTTGCTGTCTGCCTGCTGTTTATAAATGGCAGGATGGTGGCACTCCAGGGGCGGGTTGCCGTTCATAAACAGCACCCACCATTTCTAGCTGTGCGCGCTCCCTGGGAGTGCACAGCACCGTGATCCGGTGCCCGCTGTGTCCTCTGGACACAGTGAAACACTGATCGTCGGACAGGACCTCTGTACGAGGTCCCAATCATGTGATCACTGATTGGCAAATCAGTGATCACATGCAAAGTAGTAAGCAAGATGTCACTTGTGACATCATTGCTTACTACGTGTGAAATCTGTGAATGATCTGTGAAATCTGTGAATGATCTATTCACAACAGCCTTGTACCATGTGACAAGCTGTGACCAATCACAGCTCACTCAGTAGTTCTCAATGGCTGCAAGAATGCAGACAGTGTGAAAGAGAAATGATTGCTTTTACATCCTATATGGGTGTAAAAGCAATCACTGTAAAAAAAAATTTAAAATCTTCATCACCCCCCACAAGTAGTACAGTGTCACCATGGTGACACTGTACTGCTAGGGTGACAGTATTTAAAAAAAACAAAAAAAAAACATAAATAATAATATAAAAAAATAAAATAAAAATGTAAAAAATTTTTTTAAAAATTATAATTTTTGGTTATAAACTAATTTGGCTTATTTTTTTTTTTTACTAAAAAGATAACGGAATACATTTTGGCCAAGATTTATGATGAAAGATTATTTATTTGCAAAATTTTATAAGAAAAACACTTTTTTTCAAAAGTTTTAGACATTTTCATTTACATAGCAAAAAAAATTAAAATCCCAGCGGTGAATAAATACCACCAAAATAAAGCTTTATATGTCTCAAAAAAATGGTAAAAAATTCATATGGGTACAGTGCATGACCGCGCAATTGTCATTCAAAGTGTGATAGCGATGAAAGCTGAAAATTGCCCTGGTCAGGAAGGGGGTAAAAGTGTCTGGACAGGAAGTGGTTAATA